AATTCCCCTTTCATAACTGAGTCCTGTCACCTCTGGTTGGAGTCTCCCAGCAAAACAGGCACGGCCAACTTTCAGAAGTGCAGGGCACTGTTTTCTGTTCTGCCTTGTGTGGCTCTGACGGCTCTGCAGCACCTGATGTGTTCAAAGTCACACTGAGCTCCCTTTTCCCCTTCCCCCACCTCTCCCTCCTGGAAATGAAACCATAACAAGGGGTTTTTTTAGTTTTACTCTTGCCTTTCCTCCTCTCCTTCTCCCCCCACTTCCCATTGCTCAGCAAAGACAGGAAACTTTTCCTGCGTGAAGGATGAAATTCTTAGTTCATTCTATGGCTGGGTTGGTTGCTGCAAAGATTGCTGTTATCCAGACACAAGAAATGGCACTGAAGTGAGAGAAGGAGGCCCTGGAGGATGTTATTTATAGCATTACAGTGGGTTACAACAGCTTGTATGGGCTACTACAACCTCTCTTCTGTCAAACTCTGCCCACAGAGGGCTGCTGCTGGCTCCAGCAGCCGCCAGCTGTGAGTTCCTGTTCCTCTGCTCCCATCCCAGTTGCAGCAATGTCTCCTGTCCTCACCCAGGGCTGTCTCCCACAAGTTCAGCAGCTGATGTTCCGTGCTGTGCTCATGCTGCCAAACCCTGCCCAGTGCACAGAGCCCATGTAAGGATGTGGCTCTATTTAAATGACCAGAAAAGTCCGGAAAAAGAAAATGAAGGGGGTCATAAATGCTGGTATTGGTTAGGGCGTCCTGGAAGAGGTCAGATGGACAGTGATGGTGGAGCTATTGTGGGTCAGTAGCCGAAGAACTGAGATTTTGCTTGTAAAAGGAAAGAGGGAGATTGTCTTTCTCATTTTCCATGTTTGGCTTTTGGCTTTGAGTTGCTGGAGTTGAATTATCCAGCTTTCCTCACTCTTTTGATGCCTAGGAATTTACTTTTCCTATAAGGGACAAACATCATAGGACTGGAAGAAGCCTTGTGGGCCATTGAAGTCTGTCTCTGGCCAAGTATAAAGGAATGTGGCATCTTCCTCTGTTTGTGCACTTCTCCAAAGTCCTCCAAGAAGTGACTCACTCCTTTGTGGGGAAGGGAGGCTTCCAGAGCCTCTTGCTGGAAAGCTGAACTAGCACCTCTTCTTTTTTTCTTTTTTTCTTTTTTTCTTTTTTTCTTTTTTTCTTTTTTTCTTTTTAATTAAATACAAAATTCCATTTCAGTCCCTTGGGCTTCAGGAACAAGAGCTTTAGAAGGAAAAAATCATTCAGACTAAAGAGTAAGAAGGGCTGTCAGTGTTCTCCTCAGCTGGAGCTCCATCCCTTTCTAGCAACTCAGGGCAAGCAGAAGTGAAGAAAACTGTTTGCTGCTGTATGAAACTTGTACATATTTTTTTAATCTAATTTCTGTGGGGAAAACAAACATCAGTTTTATTTCACACCATTTCTTGGCTCAGAAACTTCAGGCACATTCGCCAAATTGTGGTTTTTCAGTCATTGGCTGTGTCTCATTTACCATGAGGCCTCTTTGGTTGGTAAAGAGATATTAAGTAGCTAAAAATGTCCTTTACTGCATTATTGTAAAGAATTTTCAGTGTAAATGAGAATTTAAACTCTGTATGTTTTTCGTGTAAATGTTGGTTGTGGTCACAGCTAACTTGAAATTTGAAGTGTCGACCATTATGTGGGGTGATTTTGCTCAAAACCAGCCTTGTTTGGGGTAAAAGAGGCCTCTTCTTGTTTAAAATGTTCTTAATTATGTCTGAGAAATAACTCACGGCTATGGAACCTTTTACTAAATTGAAATAAATTGTGAAAACATCAAATTATTCAGTTTTCAGAAGTTCTGGCAATTATTTCACATGTCCCTCTTCCAATAGCTTTGCCCTTATTAGTTGTCATAGAAGAAGTAATAAATTCTTTTATTATGACATCCAGTGTCCCAGCTGAAATTAGTTTCATTGTGCTGGGGACAAAACGGAAAAGTGACACTCCCTTAGCCGGAGGATCCTCAGTCCAAAGCCAAAAGTAAAGTGAAGGATTGGGAAAATAGGTGAAGCATTCAAGCAAAAGAGGGTCATAAAGAACTGGTACAACTTGCAAGGGAGTTGGGTTTCTAATCCCAGCACAAGGGAGTGTGAGTTTCTTGTCCCTTTTTAAAATTTTTTTCCTTTCTCTTAAGAATAAAACAAACTTTTGCTGTTGAAAGGCTTGTGCTCAATCCATTTTTTCATCAAGAGTTGGATGTCTGCAATAGTAAAAGTTTGAGAAAATAATACTGTACGTGGCATAAGGATTCAGTAATGACCTTTGCCCTAAACTAGAAAATGCAAGGAACTGGAATAGTAGAGTGTTTTAGTTCATCAGCTTTCACACTGATGTGTTCAGTGATGTCCCTATTGTCACTGGATTTTTTTCTTTTCCTGTCCTTCTTTGGCTCCCTGTAAATCTTGAATTGATGGCAGCTGTTTGAGCCCAACTCAAGACACGTTGCATCACATCAGGGTTTAAAGGCTCAAAGGCAAGGGAGGATTGCTACTATTCTGTAGTATTCCTCCAGCAGCTCCTCATGCTCAGCTGAGGTCAATCACCAGCATCAGGCAGCACTTCAGAGAGAGGAAGATATTCTTTAAATGCTTCCTGGGAAACTGGATTTCTATCCCACAATAATTTATCAGTTCTTTGGTGGAATATTTCTAGCCCCAGTCAGTGTAAAGAGCAAAAACTCTTGACCCTTAAAGACCGTATGGTGGACTTTCCTGGAACTGGAGACCTGTTCCAGGACTTCCAGCTGTCCATCCAACCGTGGGGATCTTGGGTGCCTGAAGAAACAGGTGGGGAAGCTTAGGTGCAGCTGCTTTGTGATCCACAGACCTGGAGGATTTGGTCACTGGAGATGGCAAATGAGCCTGGAGGTGGTGAGGATTGTGGCAGGGATGAGTTGTTCTTCTGTGCCTCAGTCAAAACAGCCCAGGGAGTCCCTGGGGTTCCCCTGGCCATGTTGAAGACATGCAGATTCTCAGAGGGATTTGTTGAGACAAGCCCATTTCTGCATCACTTTTTCTTCTCTCACCATGCTGGCATTTCCTGGCAGGCAAAAACTCTCTTACAAAATGCCTGATCAGCTCTAATGGTCTTATTACAATAAGCTGAGATTTTTATGACTTATTTGGGAGAGGGACTTGTCTTGCCAGCTGCCTTCTTATTCATTGCAGTGTTATCCACCCACTATCACTGGACAATACCTTCATTTGAGATGCATAAAAATACAGACTTTTATGGGCTTTCATCCATCTGAAAATGAATGCTATGTAAAAGCATTTATTTACTAAAGAAAAACTTTAAAATGCTTCAAAAACAGATTCCAGAGGTTATTGGTAGCTTTGGGTTTCGTATCACAAGTTCCTCGGGTAAATACCCATCCCAGAAAATGTCTTTTTTGTTGGTTTTTTTTTTTTTTGCACATTTGTTTTTTTCTTGCCTGGTTCTCCTCCTCTCCTTTCTCATGATCAGAAGTAGCAGTATAAACCAGAAGCTGGTCTTGAAAAGGTTTTGAACTGAGTGCACCCTACAGATGAATAAACACATTACCTTCCGAACTCTGGGATCTCTCTTCCAAAGGAAACAGGAAAAGGGGGAGCTCAGAATCCCTAGCAAAATACCAGTGTGCAGAAAAAAGGCCCGTTTAAATGTTTTTAACTTTCCCATCAGAAGAATTTTTTTTACAGGGGGAGGAGGTGGAGAGGGGCAGGGTGTGAGGAGAAGGGGGGAAGGTGGGTGCTGGGAGAGGGGAGGAAAAATACAGTGAATGCTCCTGTAACCTTTGCTCTGTTGATACTAGACAAGACTGCACTGTTAATGAGTGATTGTTAACAGATGGCTCTTGAGCAACTTAGTCAGAAGCAGAAGATGTTATTTGGTTGTAGTGAGGGGAGGGTGAGGGTGCAGGGGTGAGGTAAGGGGATATTTAGTCTTTTCACGAGGACTGAACTGTCAGAGATTTATTATTTTCCTTTAGGCTTTTGGAAGTGGAGGCTCTGGGGAAGGATTGTTTTCTATGTGCTGATAGTAGAAAGGCCATTTGGTGCTGAAAGCTCCAATGATTTTGTTTTTGGTGAGGGTGTCCCTGCAGCCCTTGGCCTTTGAGGACTGAAGGTTGGAAATGTCTGTCTTTAACTCACTGAGCCTTGTGTCCCAAACTGGGGAGGACTGGGCTCTGTCCACTGCCTGGAGCTCTCTGAGGGCTGGGTGAGAGAGCTCTAAGCATGGATCTACACTTTGGGAGAGAAATCTTTCCGCAGTGCATTGAGTTGGTAGGAAGTGTGCCTGTGAGGGGACAGGAACCTTTCTGAATGTCCATCTTTCTGGGGATGTCCATCTGTGTGTATTTCTTGCCCTTCCCCAGTGTGGTGTATACCAGTGTATGCCGTGGCTTTTATTGGTATTTTATGGGTATGACTTTGAAGGCAGCCTGAACACATCCCATTCACTCTCGGTAGGATTTGCGTGCTTGAATTTAACAAGGTGACTGCAGCTGCTCAGTGTTTCTCAAAGTGTGCAGAATTTAGATTTTGTATTTATTTCCCTTCTGAACCTTATTAGACACATGGTTCAGGGGTATGAGGGATAAGTGACATCAGCAGGGATTGGTTCTCAAGACTGTTTTTGTTTTCATCCACTGATGAATGGCTTGAGGGAAGGGAAGAACCAAATGCACAGTCCAATGTTTTCCTGACAGGAATTTGCAGGAAAGTTTTGGACTTTGGTCAAGAGAAGGGAATCCCATTTGTACACGTCACTGGCAAATCTTTACCTTTAATAGGAAGTCTTGACGTGACCTCCCACACTGGTGCACTAGATGATTTAAAGTCTTCCTTGTGCTCTAACTATCTAACAGATGTAGGTGAGTGTGTGTATATACATTTAGAGAGATATATTTACACAATTTAAAGACTGACGCCTTCATTCTGTCATCCTTATTTATTCATATTTCTCTTTTGGGGGCACATAGGACTGTATGACAAATGTTCTTACACCTCCCGTGACCGAGGCTGGGTCCTGGGGATTAACACCGTCAGTGACCAGGGGAACAGAGACCCCCGCTATTTCTTCTCACTGAAGACGGACCGTGCTCGCAAAGTCACCACCATTGCAGCACACCGCAGCTACCTCCCCAACCAGTGGGTGCACCTGGCTGCCACCTACGACGGGCGCCTGATGAGACTCTACGTGAATGGTGCCCAGGTGGCCACAAGTGGAGAGCAAGTGGGCAGCATCTTCAGTCTGCTGACCTTGAAGTGCAAGGTGCTCATGCTGGGAGGAAATGCCCTGAACCAGAACTATCGGGGTTACGTGGAGCACTTCAGCCTCTGGAGGACAGCCCGGTCTCAAAAGGAGATCTTGTTGGACATGGAGCAGGCGATTCACAGGCAAGACACGCCCCTACCTCAGCTTGTTCTTCAAGACAGTTTACTGAATGTGAAAAGCACCTGGTCTCCCATGAAGGATGGCAGCAGCCCTCAGACCAAGTTCAGCTACCACCATGGCTATTTGCTGGACACCAGCCTGGACCCTCCTCTCTGCGGGCAGACAGTGTGTGACAACACGGACGTCATCGCCAGCTACAACAAACTGCCCAGGTTCCGCCGCAACAAAACCGTGCGCTACCGCGTGGTGAATCTGTACGACGACAAACATCAGAACCCCACCGTCAGCCAGCAGCAGATCGAGTTCCAGCACCAGCACCTGAATGAAGCTTTCAGCCGCTACAACATCACCTGGGAGCTGGAGGTGCTGGAGGTGAAGAATTCTTCCCTTCGCCACCGGCTCATCCTGGCCAACTGTGACATCAGCAAGATTGGGGACGAGAACTGTGACCCCGAGTGCAACCACACCCTGACGGGGTACGACGGCGGGGACTGCCGGCACGTCCGCCACACGCTCTTCAACAAGAAGAAGCAGAACGGGGTGTGTGACATGGATTGTAATTACGAGAGGTACAACTTCGATGGGGGGGAGTGCTGCAACCCAGAGATAACAGAAGTCACCAAGACCTGCTTTGACCCATATTCTCCTTACAGGTAGGCAATTTCTTTTTATGACCATATTGATGAATATCTGTCTAGGTATCGATCATCCTGCTGGCTGTTGAACCCTTTCATTGTTGCTATTATGGGCTTTGGAGTTTAATGAATTTTTTTTTCTTCTCAGTATTTGGCTCACATTGCAGTTCTCCAAATGCAATCTCAGTAATGGTCTCAGCAATGTCTTACCCCTGAATTAGTATTCCCAGCCAGGCTAAGGAAAATCTGTGCTAAAGACTGAAGCAGCCAATTTTGAGAGACCCATTAGTTGTTGGCTATGAGCAGCATATTGTAACAGTGCAAAGTTTATTTTAACTCCAGACTCTGAGGAGTGGGGATTGGATGTCACAGAAAGCTCATGTGTATTTGGAGAGGGAAAAGGCCCTCAGGCATGAAACAGAACATGAATACTCTTAGGTAGACGTTAATTCTGTAGCACTTTGAGGGTAGGTAGGTAACTCCATACTCTTACTGCTGTGTACAGCTCTCTGTGGGCACTGCTGTGGAGGGGCAGCTGAGTCTGGGGGCTGTGAGGAGTGAGGTGGGTACCAGATTCCTGTTGCACACTCTTGGTGGGTAATGAAACTCTTCTGTGCCCCTTTTTAAACATAAATGAGAACAGGAGTAATGCCACTTCATTGCATGGCAGTTTCTGTGGGTGGATGTGAGCTCATAAAATCCTCAGCTCCTCAGCTCAGGCTTCCTTGGGCTGCAGTTTGAGGTGTGGCATGGTCAAATAACTTGCATCAGGTGGGTACCATGTACCTACAATTACTCCAGATTCAGATAAGTTAGTATGTTTAAGTAATAAGGTGTTTCTTGTGAATGAGTTAGAAGTATAAGCACAGAAAATATGAAAATTAAAGCTGAAATTCTGTTATCTGCATTCCATGTTACAGCTTTTTTAGGGCAGTTCATGGAACCATAGAGGGGAAACTTCTAAATGGTCAGAATACCCAATACTATAGTTCAGGTAAAGAAGGAAAGTACAAGCTTTTCAGGAGTTCCTTCCATTGCAGCAATTCAGGCTATATTTATAGCTTCCTTAATAGAGAGAAATTTTTAAACAACATTATCAGCTCTACTGGAGCTTTAAATACACATAATTAAGTTGGAAATAAAAGCCTTTTTTTTTTTTTTTTTTTTACTCCCGCAAGGTTGTTGTTTAAAAAAGTCTTTCTAGCTCAGTTTGACTTCAGTCACTTACCAGTGAACAAAGCTCAAATGAGGAAATTCTTTAAATATTAATGCTTGAAAACATTGAAAGGAAAAATACCAATTTTTAATGCTGTTCAAATGGAGAAGAACTCCACTAAGCAAATATCATCAAAAGCATAATGCAAATTGGATTGTTTTAACACTGTAGTTCTGAGAACTCAAGGTGTTAGCTATAGCAACTAATACAATTTTTAGGAAAAAATACATTATTTTTAATCTTATAGTACCCTTTTATCACTTTTTCTGTGACCAGCATAATACAATTTGGAGACAACCACCTGGCTGAGCTTGTCTGGAGGACTTAGATCTCATGGACTTGATCTCACAGATCTTCTATAGGTTCATTTTGACTTGAGAAAAACCTCCTCTTGACCTGAAACACTGGGGAAGCCTGAAGATCCTCTTCCACAGCCTAGAGCCTCAGAAAATCCAGAGGTTTTTTTTGTTTGTTTGTTTTTGTTTTTGTTTTTTTACAGATAGATTTAATTTATTTATGTTTGCACAGACATGGTATTGCAGCATTGATCATGGGCAATGAAACCACAGAGGGCAGTAGCAGAAATTCCATATCACTGGAGTCTTTATTTGGTGGCTGATATGCTTTGGCTGAGCTCAAACTCACTTCTGTGATGAGTGTTTGTACTCAGTAAGGCAAGATAGAGCAGTTAGGCCTGTGGATTTATCACTGAAGTTTGTATGCCTGACTCACACTGCTTTGGGAATTTAGGTTAACAAATACATGTTTAGGGCAGTGATTTTGGCAGCAAAGCCTTTACTGAATACAGGGGTGAAGATTCAAACCCTGCGTTTGGCTTTGGTATCGATGTCAGCATCATCCCCTGAGACAGAGATTTCCATGTCAATTAGTGACAAAGTAAAAATTTGGTTGGCACCATCTGGGCCCATTTTGCATCCCCAGCCCCTCTTGTCATCGCTTTCATTGGCCAAGAGTCCTCAGTCCCCTCTAGTGCAGACCTTGCACCACAGCAGTGAAGATCTTGCAGCCATGGAGAACTCACATCTCATTTCAGGTATTTCCTCCACCAAAGTTCAGTCCAACAATAGCAGAAGAAAGGGCAAAGATCCTTCAATCTGGTGAGGAAAGGGAGGAAAGAAAGATGAAGTGGTACCAATAAAAATTTTCATGAACTTTATTTAAAAAGACTTTTCAGAGTCTTCCTTGGTATTGGGCTTTGTTCCTTCACACCCTCAGTGTCAGCAGTTGCAGCCAGCTGTTCACCAAGCAGAGCTTATTCATTGAATACTTCTGTCCTCTGGAACCGACCAAGAAGTGCTGATGTTTGATTGATGCTGTAATAAACAGGAACCCTCCTCAGTGCCTCTTTATCCGCAAAAGATTATTTATCTGTTCCCAGCCACTTTCCTTCTTATTATGAGTCTCAGTCCATGAAGCTCCATCCTAGGACAGAGTTGCTCTGAGCCTTGATACAAAAAACACTGTGGGTGATTTGTGACTAAGTGATACCACTGAAACAATTCCAAGACACCTCTGATCTGTGTTACAATAATCTTGTGATCCTTATGGGCACTGGGGACAAAGGGCTCAGGTACTTTGATGGTGTCATTCAGTCACTGTGGTGGTAAAACTGTGGTGACTTCAGAGCTGATCCCAGCAGCACAGCTGGTAGGTTTCTTTTCTGTTTCCTGCCTGTCTTTGTGGCACCTCTCCAAAAATATTTAACTCCAAAAAGCTGATGTTCCATGCCATAGTGAGGTGGTAGAGATTTAAGTTTGTCAGAGGGACAGCAGTAAGAATGGGAATTCTGCTCTCAGAGCTGCTCAGCAGAAAAGCTGTAAACATTGTGGTACCAACTAGATCATCTCTCCTCTTTTTTAATAGCCTGCAGGGAAAAAACAAAGGACTGGTTATCATTAGCCACACAGCAGGCTTTATCCAAGAATATCTGCCTCACTTCTTTTCATTAATTTCATGAGAGTGGGACAAAATGTATTTTGTCCCAGCAGAAGGTTTACAAATATTGTTCTGCTTTTCTGCAATTCCGGGAAATTAGAACATGCTAAGATCATACAGTTTGGCCCAATACAAAGGGAAGGAGCAAGAATAAACACCCTTGCCAGAAAGACTCATTCTTTGTGTTATTTGGTATATTGCTGGTTACAAAACAGGGAAGACTTTGAGCTCATGACACCTACCATGGCTGCTTTTCAAAGAACTTGAAAGAAGCAGCAAGGGATCATAGGAAATCATGCTCGGTAAATGCCATTTGATGTGGTGAGTTCTTGCACCATCTTATGGTTAACTGAGACGTTCCTTTTGTGTAATATTGGGCTTGTACATCAGTCTTTACCACAGGATTCCATGGACAGATAAGGAAGCATTCCCCTCGGTGCCTTCTTAGGAAAACGTTGATGAAATTCCTGAAGCAGTAAAAGTACTGGAGTCTCTTCAAGCTCCCTCGATCCATATGGCCTACCAAGTACTTGCTGGAAATCACCCCAGAATAGCTAACCTGGGGACAGACTTTCTCAACTTCCACATGTGTGCCCCAAAGGCTCACAGCCCTTCATTTCTGCCTAAAGGAGGAGCAGAATGAGCTGTACAAGCTCTGGTCCATTTGCAGCAAACTCAGGTTGGCACCAAACCAAGGAATCACAGAACCACAGAATGATTTGGGTTGGAAGGAACCTTAAAGATCATCCAGTTCCAGCCCTCCCTGAGAGCTGGAGCCTGTGTCCTTTTCTAGCACTTGTATTGGACAGTTCAGCTCTGTTCATATCGTGTCACACCACATTCTAGGCATACATAAATTAGACTTAAAATACATGCCTGACCCATTTGTAGGAATTTCCATAGTGGTTTTGAGCAGCAGTGGGTGTGACAGAGCTGTGTGTGAGCACACTGGGCTAGGCATGTGGGCCAAAGCAGTAGCATTAGGAGGAGGAGGTGGTGGCTAATCCATAGCCCAAGGCAGCCTCAGCCTCAGGTGACAGAGCTGCACTTCAGGGCTCTTCCACGGAGTACCACTCAACCTCTTTTCCTTCTCTTCTGCTGGAATTCTCTTCATGACATGTACTTGAAAAATATGGTCAGCTTACTCTGGAGGAGGGAGGCACACTGAATGCCCTTTTCCAGGAGCTGAAGTTGTAAGAAACACTCCTTGATTCCCAATAAAACACTAATTTCCACTTAATCCTAAACACTAAAAAGAACAGAAGAAATTCTTCAAAGCTCTTCAGTTCCGGGAGCTTGAGAACTTAATCCCCTGCCTCGAAGAGACCATTGTGCAGCTCTTGACATCAAGGATGCCTGCATTCACATAGGTATCAGACAGACATGTAGCAAATACCTGAGTTTTTGTCTAGGGATTCAGTATTAAATGTCCAGTTCTTTAATTAGCAGCTCCAGGGCTGTTTAGGAGGCGAAGAGTAATACTGTCAAGGATGGAGCTGCTGTATCTTGGTAGTTGTCACCCAAAAGCCAAGTCCCAACAGGAAATCCTCTGTTCTCTCTGTTTATTCTGTCCTCTGTTCCAGATGTCAGGGATGTTAATCAGCTGGGAGGAGTTGCATCTGTTCCCATGCTAGCAACTGACATTTATAAGTCTAGTATTGAATTCTGATACAGACAGGACTGCAGTGCTAAAGAAACTATTTCTATACGATTCCACACCCTAGAAACAGTAGGAGTTTGCTCAATTTAGCTTGACCCACAGTCAACTTTTCCAACAGCTTTTTTCAAGAAGCATTTTTTCGTCAAGACTCATAGAACTCATGGTTTCTTTCATGGATGTTATCCA